CCCCTGACCTGCAGTGGTTCATATTCATCTTACAATGGAAAATATGTTACATCCATCTCTAAGAATTCTGAAATTCTAAACTGATCTAGCATTTCTCAACATTCCAATATAAAGTCTCCTGTAAGACTCAAGGTAATCTGAATTGTGAGATCATTTATGAGTCCAAAAGAAGTTCCTTCCATTGCAGATACTAAGGTGGCCCAAATGCAAGAAAAACAATTTGTATGCATGAAAGAAGGAGAAAAAATAAAGCAAGGATCAGATTAAAATGAGCAAAGCTCAGTGAGGAAAGTTTTAAATCCTACCATTCCATTTCTAGCATCTAGGGCATTCCACAGGGACATATAGGTTCCCAATGTTCTACCCCTTTCTTTGCATGCCAAGGAGTCATTCTTTTGGCTCAGCAATGTTCACTGCTCACAGCTTACCCTGACAGGTGCTGCTCACTTCATGCTCCTCTAACTTTTTCTGGTCTCTACTGTCCCATTGTTTTAATCTTCACAGCTACGTTTGTAGCATCAGTATCTTAGGGATTATGACCTTGAGGCTCACTTTGTAACATCATAGACTTTTCTTTGAAGTCTTGATGAAAGACTTCATGATTCTACTCATGAATCCAGTACCATATGCGCTATTTAACCGCCAAGGTCTGTGATTTACTCATTCCAGCTATAACTGCTAAAGCCTGTGAGTGCCTGACTAGCACAGGATCTCCTGAGTAAGGGGGGAACCTTGGGATTCCCTTCGCAAAAAGTTTTCATGGTTGTCACTAAGCCTGTGATGGCAATATCTTGCTGATTTCTGAGATTGTCTTTACACGTTTTCTCTACTTCCCTGTCTTTGCTTTTTCCAGCCCTTAACTCGTTATCAAGTGGGTATTGAGTTACATTCCCATATTATTTTCTGTTTTTTAGCCCCCTCCCTCAGCTTCCCTCATAAATGGAATTACATCTTTTGTGCCACCACAGCCAAGTATTGGCTTCTTTTTAAAGATTGTAATCTTTTTTTAACTTGTCCTGTTTGGTTGCACCTTTAGAAATTCTCCCTTCCTGAACAAACTGCACATTTATACTTGTTGTTAAACAAATATGGCTAAATATATCCAGTAATACGCTTTCATCTGAATGCTGTGCAGTCTTGAACTTTTCCCCCAGAATATCCGCTATTGTGTCACCTTTAAAATTGGCTTCCCAGAAAATGTCATGGTATAGACAAAATGCATTGCACCTCTTTCCAAGGTGTAACAATGATGGCCAGTTTCCAACACAATCACAAATTTCCATCTGCAATCTAATCAGCATAGCCTTTACCATACACAGTCTTATCAGCTTTCTGGTCTATTTAGCCCAAACAAGAATTGCCTCTAATGATCTGATCAGAGAATACTAGGCTTTTGTAGCTAGCTCCACCAAACTTTCTCAAATCTATCCTGTAAACCTCCTCGAAAAGCCCTTTGGTATCATTTGACATAGTTACAATGACCTTGATTCTGTTCCCAATTATTGAGGCTAGTCATTTGTGATTCACTAGGAAAAACACTTGAGATAATCATATTAAAATGACATTTACTTTGGCTCACAATTTAGAAATTTATGGCCAGTTGGCCACATTGCTTTAGGCCTGAGGCAGCTAGTTATGGCAGAAAAATGCATCAGGGAAAAACTGTTTGCTTCATGGCTGGGAAACAAAGAAGTGAAACAGAGAAAGAGATAAAATTCTCTTTAAGCGTACACATTCAGTGACCCAAAGACAAGACAGCCTCATAGACACCACCTCTTCTAGTAGTGCCAGGATGGATATCAAGCCTTGAACACACAGGCATTAGGGGGACACTTAATATCAAACTGAAGCACTTACACAGCAGATATTCACTTGTCATAACTGCTGAGTTTGGAAATTATAGGCTAAGCAGCAAGTGTGCTTGCATTGCTGTGAGGATTGTGTTCTGGGCTGCAGACTGTGGACCATGCAGAAGCCTGCGAGCTCTCTAGAGTTCCTTTCTTCACAGCACTGAGTCCAACCATGAGAGCTGCAGCTTCCTGATCTAATCACAGCTCCTAAACCCACCTGATAATAGGATTTCATCATCTGATGCAGGAAGCAGAAACATTTGGTGTATGACAATATCCAAGAGAGGAAGACAGGGAGCCTAGGAACATTTCTGCAGTTTTCCAGCAAGTTGGGGGATTTCCCTAATAGGAAGACCATGCTCTTCATTATTTCTTTCACAGTGGTAGATTTGTATATTTAGAATGTAATGCAGAGTGTTTCCCTTAGAAGTGGAAATGAAGCTCTCAAGGTGCATTTACTTGCTGCTTTCAGGCATGGCGGTTACTCCACTGCAAGCACATACTAGTTAACAGGTGTGTACTTGTCTTCAAGTGGCAATTGGTGGTGATCCTATTTGCTCACACTGTTCTACAAGGAGATGGCACAAGGTTATGCTGCACAATCAAACCCTATCTTTAAAGATCAGGCTGTGGAACCCTTGTGAATGTAAATTCTAACTGTAATGGAAGGTGACAAGGTGGATACTTCAAGTAGTGGTCCACATTTCTTTGTGCTCCTATTTAAGTTTTGTTCTCTATTATTCTTTTGGAAGCATATTTTCTATAGACATAATGTCAAATTAATCTACTTTTGGTGGTAGTAAGCATTGAACCCCGTGCCTTGCAAATGTTATACAAGTACTCTACAACTCAGATAAATTCCCAGAAACTAATAATTCTGTTTTGACCAGCACTTGATACATTTCCCAGGCTGACCTGAAACTCATGATCCTCTTGCCTCAGCTTGTTGAGAAGCTGTCATGACAGTCATGTGCCATCATTCCTTGTATTAAGCAAAGTGTTATTTCTTCAAGTACAAACATACTATTGAACCCTTTATTAAGTACCTCATGTATGTTGTTTTGGTCTTTGAATTCTATGATTTTATTGTAACCTATTTTAAAAAATTAGTTTCTATTTACAATTTTATCTTTTCTGAAGAAACATGGTTACAGTATTGTAATTCTTTAAGCCTGAATTCTTTAGTTTTAAACATTATCTGTGTAATAGCTGCTTTTATGTCTTTGTTAAGTTAACCATCTGGGCCTTCCCAATGGCAATTTTTATTTGTTTCCCTTTATATGATTCACACATTCTTGTTCCTTTGCATGTCTCATCATTTTCGGTTGTTAAAGAAAAAACTGAAAGTATTATAACAATTCTGAGAGCTGATTTGTTTGTTTGTTTTTGATACAAGCTCTCTTCATACAGCTCAGTCTAACTTGGATTTCAAGATTCCCTTGACTCAGTCTCCCGTAGAGCAAGTACAGGTGTGCTCTACAGCACTCATCTTTGCAGTAACTCTGGATACTAATTCCTCCCCTGCTGTTCTTGGTGAATATTGTTTTCTGTTTAGTTGTTAATGCTTGGATGTCATATTTCACTAGTCTCTCTGCATCACATTACAATTTTTCTGAAATCTAGAGGCATGTGTGCAATCATCTTCAGGTGATGATGTTTTTGCTAAGGTTGCTTTTACCTTATTTCCTTGCTGATGCTTTTGGTAAGGTGTCTGTCACTGTTGTTGTCACTCAAAGATGTCAGCCTCTACTACATGCATGGAAATTGCTCTTTTCTATTCAGTAGTGATCTGGGGACAAGACCTTTCTGTTTGCTTCTCTGCATCCAACTCCTGCAGTATGTTTAGGTTTTTTAGTGCCAGGTGCCTTTAGTGCACGGAATCCAATCTAGTTCACCTCTTGGGGTGTTCTTACTCATAGTTTTAGCAAAACGCATCTTTATGACTTAATGTGCTTCTCAACCTTGAAAACCACATGGTGTGGCAGCAGACCATAATATTTGAAAGGTAGGGAGACTATTGTGCCCTTTCTAAAGATTGTGATTATAGCCCTTTCCAAAGGAAAATTCTATCTTCCTTATGATTCTGCCCGTATCCCAGGGATAACATTTGTTACATCTGCAACTGGAACATTCATTTTATGTCTTCTGATTCTTTATGTTTATTATTTCTTTGTAGTAAATGTTTCCTTTTACCCTGCATAAGCTGGATGTGGCCAAAATGGATATATTGCAGAAGCATGTTGTATGCATATCTGCAACCAATTAACTGAATGCTCTTTGCTGCAATATCCTTCTGTAAACTCAAGAATTGAGTGTGGTAATCTAAGTATTATAATCATTTTTCCAGCCTTCCTCATTATCCCAAAAGTTATTATTATAATTCCATTGAAACATTATTGGAATCCCAGCATATTAATTGCCATCTGTCACCTGTGCAATCCATGGCAAGTGTAAAAACATCAAGATATATTTAAAGTTAAGGGAAGCCAATCCCTGTCAAAATGTGTGGACAAAGACACTGATTCAAGGTCTCTCCCAGAATTTATTAGCTTGTGAAGAAGGAGGTAGCTCAAGGAGGAGTGATAGCGAGGATCGCGAGAACTGGGTTAGTAACTTGAGCCAGGTAGGGACAAAAGAATCTTTGCAAAATGCAGGGAGAATGACACAAAGAAGGATCAGTGTGCATAACTCAATTAAGCTAGCAACTCAATTGTTTTTGGAGACTGCTGTTTCATTTTCTGATATGGAAAGTTTTGTGTCAAGGGGACTCATAACCTATTTATTTTGAGGCTCATATACAGATTCTGTTTATGATGAGTGAGAAGCTCAGCATTGGTGACACTCTATGACCTACACGAGACCACCTTTTCAGATCCTCAGGAGCTGAAATACCTTGTGAGCCCATTCCTTTCTGATCTGTGGGAAGACCCCATCCTGAACTCCCCCTGGGCTTTCCTGGACACTGTGTTCCTTGGGGAGCAGGTCTCTTGAGCTCACTTTGCTTAGCTGACTTCTAAGATGTCAGTTGAGTCCACTGTGTCAACCAAAAATAGAAAGTGTGGGTGGAGCTGGAGCCTTATAATCAGCCAAATTCCCTTCAGCCTGTTCACAGGCTGGCTTCTCTGGGAGCAGCTCCTTGTGGGCTCAACCATGAGTGTCCTGTTACTGGTGCTGCTACTGGGCACTTTTCTCCTAGGACTCCTTGTCTGGAGCATCTGTAAGCACTTGCTCACCACAGATGTCCCCTCTGCCTTGAAACATCCTCTCAAGTTCAGAATTCTGCATTGCATATTTATATACGTCGTCACCCTGGTGAGTGTTCTTTCAGGTTCCACCATGAGTCCGGGTGCAGTCACTCTACCTCCCTCTCTTCTCTTTTCATTTCCTTTTCCTCTCTTTCCATATTTCCCCAAGACAGACAAGGTAAGATTTGCTACACAGTCTTGTATCCATTTTCTGTTTCTCCCTTTTTCCTTTCTTTGTTGCTTCCCTCCCTTCTTTTGTTTCTTCCTCATTTGCTCCTCCTTTTGTTCTCATTTCTATGTTTGTTTGCATCCTTCCTTCCCTTTTTGATTCTTTATAGTGTTTATGCTCTCCATCCTTCCTCTTTTCCCTTTCTTCCTTTTTCCTGTATTTCTTACCATTGTTTCCTCTGACCTCTCTACATTCCATACTTTATCCCTTTTCACTTCTGCTCCCTTCCTTTCTTGTTTCTTTCTGTGTCTCCCTCTCTCTATTTTCTTCTTCTTCATTTTCTTCCACCTTGTTTTTTTTCATTCTATTTTTCCTTCATAACTTATTTTCTCCTTCTCTCTATTCTTTTGTACCTCCTTTCTTCCTTCCTTCAATCTGTGCTTTCTTTAGTATTTCTTTCTCTGTCTCTCTTTATTTCCCAGTCTCTCTTGTCCTTCCATCCTCCCTGCCTCCCTGCCAGCCTTCCTTCCTTCCTTCATTTCTTTCTTTACCTTCTTTTCTCCTTCTTTCTTCCTCTCCTTCCAATCTTCCAACCTGTCCTCTCTCCCACTGTAACTCTATCCCTCACTTCTTTCAGTGTCAGATAATAACAAAGTGCAATCCACGATCCCTTTTCTGAGAACTGAGACTCAGTCCTTGCACACCAATGACTTGACAGGGACTTATGCTTTCTTCAGTGCAGTATACTTCTCCATCTATGCACTTACCTGTCCTCAGGTGTTTTTCCTACAGAGTAGTAAGTACCTTGCAAGTAGAGTCACTCATGTCAACTTTAAACTGGGCTTTAAGCACAGGGTCAGATATTCTTTATTGATGAAATCTTAAATAAATGAAGCCATCATTTCAGGGTGGCCCTACCTGTATTTCTCTGAGCAGGGCTTCAGCGTGAGATGGTGGTAGCACATTAACATCTGCCTAAGCATCATCAGAAAGAATGTTTTGTTCTCCCTGTATGAGGTGGGCAAATTGAGTTAATCCCAATATCTCAGTACTGGGCACCTAAGAATGACCAAAGAGCTCACACTGAATACCTCTGAGTATAACTATACAGGAGGTGAGGAAATCTAAGGGCAAGAAGCATCAACAACAGCCAGTGTATGTTTCTTATACTGCCTCTTCCTAGCTGTGTGATTATGGGCCACAAGAGTTCCAGTGTCTCAGTTTCATGGGAAGATGAGACCTGTCTAATTATTTTTGGTAACCATGTTAGATGACATGTGACAGAAATGAATAGGTTTAGGACTATTGGATTAAGAATTCTGTCTCTGGAGAATTGGTGGAATTTTTTACCATTGGAATAAATTACTTCATGTCTGGGCTCAACCACTGACTGCATGAGAATTCCAATCTCTGCCTTTTCTCTGCTGCTCTGACAGTACCATTGAGTATGTAACTTACAAACAAAAAATGTTTGGTTCACCTTTAGAGAAGTTGGGAAGGCCAGGAACATGGTACCAGCAGTGGGTGTTTTGCAATATGCCTTGGCAATAAGGCAAGCATGCATATAGTTGCAAGACAGCAAACATACAGTGACCTCATCTTGTTATTTCGGGGCCACACTGCAGAGATAATGAATCTCTTTCCTTCACAGAAGATTGTGTGAATCTTTAGAGGACATTCTCTAACAACTACATAGATTCTAACTCAATCCTGTTATGACAACAATGAATTTGCAACATGAGCTTTGGAGCAGACAGACATTGAGGTCATAGGAATATCATTATACAGTCAAGACCATATTGCTGTGGAACCTGAAAACCCAGCTCTCTATCAGAACAAGAGCAAGAGCCCCCTGAGATGCAATGAGTGAAATAAACATGCAGAGGCAGGAAAGAAACCTGGGATGACTTACCAGTGCTGGTGGTGGGGAAGCCTGCTGTCTCTACTTTACTCTCCTCCTCCTCCCTTCCACAGGGAATCATACTAGAGAAGCTGAGGATTTGCTCCATGCCCACCTTTGCCTGTTTTTCAATGGACATTTTTTTTGCAAAGAAAAAGGACCCTAAAGTGGTGGTGACAGACCTGCGCTTTGGAACAATCTCTGTGAGGCTGTTTGAGCCCAAGGCAATGTCTTGCAGCTCAAGGGCAGGCATCGTCTTCTACCATGGAGGAGCTGGGGTGTTCGGCAGCCTGGGTAAGGAGCCTGCCTGATGTGTGGAAGAGCAAGAGTGGGACATATGGGTAATTTTGTTTGAGATCCCAGGAGAGTCTCATGGAGTGATTCAAAGAAATCAGCCATAAGAATTTCTTCAGAGGAGGCAAGAGAGGACATGGGGACTCACTTGATTTAATGGTATTGCTGTCTCCACCAGTGGTTTCCACTGTCTGATAATCTGATTTCTTGATTATGAATCAGATATCTAATCTTCCTTCTTTTCCTACTTACCTTATGCCTACTGGCCCATCGTATTTATACCAGAGTGATTTTCAACTTGTACATTGTCCTCAGCTCTGCAAGGCCATTGGGTTACAAACCTACCTGCTCTTGTTTACACCGTTCACCTCCAGGAGGATTCTTCTAACTGGTCCTGTGCCCTTCCAGCTTCCTCAGCCTCACAGATCTCCCGAAGCCTGGGGATGCTTTTCAGTGGTGGAACATTTACCTAACATGAGTGAAATCCTGGTTTTCATCCTAATCATTACCAAAAAATTATTCCATACCTTCAGGCATGAATTGAGAACACATCCCATCCGTGGGCCTTATCCTTGTGAATAGCCTTCACTCTCAGAAGCCCCAAGGTTGTTCCCCCAAATGCTGCCCTGAGTTCAGTGAGGATGAAATTTCCAAAGGTAAAGCAAGATGGGCCAGCAAGTAGTTCCTAAGCACTTACTGTGCACCCCTTCCCACCAATAAGGCGCTCAGAAATGCAAGAAAGACACAGGCCTTCACCGGAAGTGCCTGTCAGTCAGTGAGGGAGCAGGTCAATGCAGGCAGGACTATTCAGAGGTGGAAGCTTCACATGGTGATAAAACAGGATGCTAGAATACACATGACTCAGAGTGGTTGAACTGGGTTCCTCTAATTATATAAAATTTGTACAAGATGGTAGAATTGGAGCCCAAGCCCAGGTGATGATGAGGAGTAGGCACTAGTCGTGGGGATCAGGTCATTCTGAGCTAGGTGGGGACCTAGGGTAGACTGGGGAGACAGGTGCCTTAGGCTTGAAAATGACAGGCAGCAAAACCCTCTATCATTAGAACAATTAATACTGCACATCAAGGAAATATTTAAAAGAACAACACAAATGTAACAGACGAAGTTGAACTTAGTACCAAAGAATTACTAGGTAAGGGTGAGTGACTTTTGCAAGGGCAAAGCAGAAGCCTGTTTAACACTTTATTTTGCTAATTGTCTCATGCTTAGCATTAGTTTTGGTTTGTAATAGTTTACATCAATACCTTTTCTATCAGAAAGATTGAGTGACCTGGGACCCTAGATTTTGCCCCCACAGTGGATACTTCACTTGCTCCATCCTAACCTGGCCCTATTCAGTCTAAGCAACAGGGTGTCAAGGGCAGAGCTGTGGAAACATCAGTTTAGTCCCTGAGGGAAGAAGGAGGTCAGGGTGGCAGAGTGGGTGATGAAGCTGGTTAGGTCTGCAGGGCCCACACCATGGGCTGCAGAGGTTTTGGCCTGGGCTATCTTTAATCTCCCTTGGGAACTTTAAGTTCCAACTCATCCCAGCTCAGCCCCAGGCTTACTGAGTTTCTCTCTAGGGTGTCCTCTGGTCTCAGGATGTTCCCAGATGACCTATTGTACAGTGCATCTGAGATGTGAAGGTACAGACCTTTTACCTACATGCTGACCCTCAGCTCAGCTGACCCTGCAGGATGTCTGCCTTTGTTTGCTGCTATCACTACTACTAATTTACATCACCAGATCCTTTCTGGATCTGAAAATGGGACTCACCTATCAGGATCTGAGCCCCATAATGGGTTTGTAGGGCAGCCTACTCATATCAGTGGATCTGCATTTTAGAACTTCAGATGAATCCTTTATTCATAACACATCCTATCCAGCCATTGCTTCTTTCTCCATGAGTATAAATACACCACATGATTAATATTTCCAGTAGACATGCTCAGCTTGACTTTCCCTGGTTTTGTACATTTGAGATCCCTAAGCCTTCCTGGTTCCCAGTATAAATTAATCGATGCAGGTGAACCCCAAAATCTTCCTCCTTGACAGTTGGGAGATCGGGACAAAGCTTAATTTTCCAAGGCTGAGCCTACCAAAGTAGGAGGAGACCAGAATAGAAACAGAGATAGGACAAACCCCATGCCTGCCTACAAGTAGCTCTCCCTGATGCAGTGTGGGAGTACTGGGCCCTCCTCATGAGCCACTCTGGGTCTGTTGTTTTCCTGCAGATTCTTACCACAACGTGTGCCTTTCCCTTGCCCTGGAGACCAATTCTGTGCTGTTGTCTGTGGGGTAAGATTTTGAGACAGTTTTCATTTTTTCCATGGGATGAAGAAGGTGGGAGGGAGTTGCTGGATGACTGTAGAGCAGAGAGGAGTCCTCAGCCATCAGACACTCATGGACATGCCCCCAGGACACAGGTGCATCTCCATGCAGAGTGGCACAATCCTGGAAAGATGCTTGCCTCAAGGAGGGCACGGATCATTCCAGTGAGAGTGAATAGTGTATTACAGTGCCTGATCTGCCAAGCACTATTATGTGGCATTGGTTAACAGTATGGCAGGATGCATTGTGATATGAAATAATTTTTTATTTTAAGGAGGATGAAACCAAGGAGAATTAAACAGAATAAAACCAATCAAATCTAACCAGTGTAATCGACACAAGACTGCAAACCTCATGAAATCAACAATAATTACCCTAATACCTTTTCTCTCAAAATAGCTGTAAATACCTTCAGACATAGTAAAAATCAAACAGGACAGAGCAGAATAGAAGCAATAAAAATGAAATGGTGAATGCAACAAAGGACCTGAAAACCAGACAATAGTAAATCTAAAATGGTTACCACAATATGTCTTATTTTTGAAATAGCTGCTTATGTCCTTAAATATAACAAAATCAAACAAAACAAAATAGAACAAAACTCAACCCAATAACAATGAAAATGAAACAGGACTTCAAAACCAGATAATAGAGAATTAACAATGGCCTCCACCTTCAGAAGGTATTTGCCCTAGATTCCACACTGTATACCTCTATACTCTGAGTAGATGATCAAACCACAGACCCTAGACTGGCAAGGTCAGTGAAACACAAAAACACCACAGGCCTCCAACTGCATTTAACCTCAATAACTATCACCCCAACAGCTTGTGTTTTTACAGATGAGCTGATCACTTGCAGGGTGGTGGTGGTGGGGCTGTACCGGCTATTCTTGTATGACAGCCCACACCCTGGAAAGTGCTGGGGTCTGCCTTTCTCCCTCCCAGCCCCCTTGACGGTGGCTTGCACATGGTGCTGGTTCTCAAAGAGAGTTTGCCTCTTGGTGAATTCTTAGCATGTCCTGGCCCCGGCCTCTCCTCTGCCCCTATAGTCTCATAATGGCACTGTGTCAAGGGCAAGATTTGGGTTTGATTGACCCCTGCTGGCAATGGCCTGCACATTGTCAATGTCAATGAATGTTAACAGGACATGCATAAGAAAAATGATCAAAAAATTACATGAAGGCTGATGTTTCAAAAAGTGTTACGATAACGAAAGTAAAACTAATACCTTCTAAGAATGTCCATGGTTAAAACCAAATACTATAGAAACAAAGTGGGCAGGATGATGTATCCAGCATGTCAGGAAATCCTCCTCTAGGCAGAGGAGGCTCTGAGATGAGAGAAGATAGTGAGGTGGTCTGAGTTGGTTGAAGGTCTCGGTCTAGATTTTGGCTGTGGTTGACCTGATGGTTCTGTAGATTCTTATTATGTCATTCCTACTTATCTACCAACCACCCCAGGCTGCACCAGGACCAAGGTGGAGACTGTGTTGAGATACAATTATCTGTGGAGGCAAGGATAGTGATGGTAAATCATTAGTATTCCGCTCCTTTCCCCAAGAGATCTCAACAAGGAAGAGAACACAGTTCAGACAGGCCAGGAGAGAGAATCAAAAAACTGCCCCTTTTCACTGTGAATATCTGATGGCCTTCACTAATCTTGGCTGCTCCTAGTGTGAGTAGAGAGTGTCGCCGTGTGACTCCAGCAGGTCATTTTGCACCACTAACTCTCTGTGGGGACACTGAGGATGGCAGCAGTTCTTCAGGGTTTCACACCTGGGAGCCATGGAGTCTGGATTTCTACCACTAGAGCTCATGTCTCCAAAGACATAGGGATAATAAGACCTTTTGCACGGTGAGAACCAAAAGGTGACAGTGCTCCCTGTGAGATTTTAGAACACATCTTGTGTCTTATGTTTTATGCGGTGATATCTTATAAGAGAGTGCTCAGTGTTCCTTTTATTTTAAATATTTGAACAGCCTGGGACTTTGGGTCCATGTACTTCTGATGGAATGATTGGAGGAATGATAACCCAGAGGAGGAGCTTGTGTCTACCTGGGCCATGCAGTGTGTGATGCAATGGAATAGGAGCCTGAAGGACACTGAAAAAGAGATTTTTTATTCTGCTCTGTTTTATTTTTTTTGGCTGAAAATTACTTCAGTAGTTTTATTTTTAACTTTTATTTTTTTGGCTGAAAACTACTAGTCTCAGCTGTGCTACTCCCAAACTCACAGAAAGTAGGACTGAAAGCTGAGGACTGTGTCTTTTGAGTAAAGATGATAGAGGCCAGGATACTGATTCAAACATAAAATTTAAAAACTGCTGGAGACTTAGCTTAGTGTGAAGATTGTTATTCAATTCCCAGTACTGAAATAATTATTTTAGCTACTTGGGCCTTAGGGTGATCACAGTCAACTTGCTGATTTTCTTGTTCAGGCATCCTTCTCAAGTTCAAGCACCCTGGCCTTGATTGGGGAAGTGAGGCTAAACATTGGTTACAACTGATCAGTTACTTTTGCATCACGCTGCAAATACGTGCAGTCCTTCTAGTAGGGCTAAAGGCCTTTCAGTGCTTGACTCCTGAAAAAAGCACCAGAGTAGATAGAAAAGAGACATAGCAGTTGTAATTGATGGTAGGCAAGCTAAATTTGTGTCCTAGCCTCAGTCAAAACAGTTCTTAAATGATCATTATAACTATGTGAAGAGACAGGTCGAATCTGTCTCAGGAGTGGGTTAAAGCATCAAAGGGGATGCAATGTGAAGAAAGAGATTTCACTGCATTCACTCATAAGAAGTCTACAGGCTGAAGAGATGAGAACATGTTCTCAGTAAATCAGCCTTCACGTCCCTAGCTATAACCCACAGCTGTTTCTGTAATCCAGGTATTAGATGCATTGTCCACAGCAAAGCTAGTTGGAAACTAGCAATGTGATCCCCAGATGGGTGAATTGCAAGCTAGTTCTCTCAAATAGGCTCAGCGGAAGGGAAGCTAAAGAGCTTATTTGGAACATTTTTCTAGGTAAGAATTTCTCAATTTTCACAACCCTGTGCCGCTGTGGCTTTATGTGGGTCTCAGGTTGGCTCTGTTAGAATGGGCCCAGCTACAAAAGAGTGATAGTTTGTTGCAGCAGTTTGTCTTGTCATTGTAGCTTTGTGTTTCAACACTGTTGCACCATGGTGGTCCCTAACTGCTTGAGGAGGAGCAGAAAGTTCACTAGCCATTTTCCTGTTTTTTCCTTTTCAAAAGCTAGTAGCTTTCTACTCCTATGGGATTTGTGCATGCCAGGAAGCATGGGACCTGGAGCCTGAACTGAGAATATATACTCTTGCAGAGCCAGACATTGGACATACTGTTCCTATTATCATAGGAAAGGAGAGGGATACCCATGGTAACTTCTTTGGATCATTCTGATGAACTCAATGGAGAAGGTCTCCTAAGGGTTGTAAAAGTCTGTTTAGAGGGCATATAGTGACCCTTTGCACATTATTCTTTGTTCCCTTTTTCCTCGTTAGGTACAGGAAGCTTCCTTACTACCATTACCCTATCATTATCACTGACTGCCTGAATGCCACCATCCACTTCCTGAAGAGGCTGAAAAGTTATGGTGTGGACCCTTCCCGGGTTGTAGTCTGTGGGGACAGCATTGGAGGAGGGGTTGCTGCCCTTATCACCCGGGCTCTGTTGAGCCACAAAGATCTCCCCCGAATCCGGGCTCAAGTCCTCATTTATCCGGTTACTCAGTTCACCAATTTCCAGTTACCATCTGCTCAGCAGAACCGAAATATCCCATTTCTCACTGAAGAACTCCTGATGATGTGCCTTTGTAGATATGCAGCCATTGACATCTCTTGGAAAGATGCCATACTGAAAGGTGCTTTTGTACCCCCAGAAACCTGGGAGAAGTACAGGAAATGGCTCACCTCTGACAATATCCCTGAAAGATTCAAGAATAAATACCAAGAAACCCAGTTTCCTGGGCCTTTTAATGAGGCTGCCTATCTTGAAACAAAACATATGTTAGATGTCCAAATTGTCCCCATCTTAGCTGATGATGAGATCATATCTCATCTCCCTGAGACCTTCCTGGTGAGTTGTGAGCATGATATCCTCCATGATCACACCTTGCTCTACAAGAAGCGCTTGGAAGACCAAGAGGTCCCCGTGAGCTGGTACCATGTGGAAGACGGCTTTCATGGATGCATACTTTTATTTGGTCAGAAGTTTTTCGTTTTTCCCTGCTCTGAGAAAATTTTAAATGCTGTGGTGAGTTACATAAAGGCCTTGTGACAGTTACACTATTTTTGTGAGTAGTGTGAGACGAGGATATGTCTGCCACAGATGGTGGATATACTGAGTTTTACTTTCCAAAAGGAGATGCTAATACACCATGTCCAAGACAGGGAGAGTACAATAGCGTAAGAGCTCTCTAGCTTTCACTTCAAGATAATAAAATCTGTTTTCTTTTAGTATTAACAGAGTGGAGTTTTGCATGGAGCTATGTTGTATAATGTTTAGAATTAAATATCATTGGAGAATAAAACACCTTGAAAGCTTTCTTGAAGCCTTAAGCCAGAAGGTCTATGCACACCATGTATAAAGAACTGACCCCACCATCCATGGAGGGTACATATCTGTGATGATTAAACATTGCTGTGTTGAACTCTGCTGGAAGGAGTAGGTGGTCACTCACTGTCCCTGGGTTCAAGGTCACTGATCATGTCCCACCTCAGAATACTTCCAGTTGGCCTGAGAAATGTTCCTGCAAGTAATCATGGCTCAGATCAAGCCAGCCTTAAGTAGATTTAGAGGCATTTTTTCCAAAGATATACACAAGGCAGAGTGAATGGTGTTGGTGTATAGAACTAGTGAACTGTAGGGAGTAAAGTGGTTTATCTAGACCAAAGTCTTCCACAGAAATCCTTAAAGCAAATCTGTGGCTGCCACAGGGAATTTCTCAGAGGAAAGCTGTGTTGGTAAGCTCTTGATAGTATGTGGGATGTGGAAAGTGAATTCATTCTATTGGGGAGGAAATGTTGCCCCTTTTCTCTGTTAATTTAGTTGGATATTTACAATGTCATATCACATAAATTTAAATGGGGAGCAATTCGTTAAAGCAGCCACAGAGAACAGATAGGGCCTGGTGGCCCACATATCTAATAATCAGTGTAATAGAATCTGGTACACAAGTCTCCTCTGATTTTGTATCATTGGCAGATCTCATCCGAAGGAAATCATGGGTCTTCTTCACACTCGTGGGTCATACAGTGTATAACAGTGCAAGTAAAGGTCAAGTATCATTGCAAAATATCCCATATGAAGAAAGCTACAGGAGAAGATGACAAGAATAACAGTAAAACTTACATGGCAGCCTAAATTATAGAAGTTGTTCTGCACCCATGAGCTCCACCTTCTGGTTCAGTTGACTTCTTGTTTCCCCAGGAGGGATCCTCTCATTTGCTTTAGCTGTACTTCCCTTATGAGAGAAAAATCCCTCCCTGATTTTCGCCAGGAGTCCTCTGTGTCTTCCTGCAGCCTATTCCAATAGTGATCCCATTTCTGGTCCTCATCAAGATCCAAGAAGTTTATATTTGCAGTCCCTTGGAAAAGTTATTGGAAGTCTACCACTCTATCACTTAGATTGACTCCAATCTACCATTTTCTGTGCAACCTACAGATGAGAATCAAGACTCTAAGACACATTTATAATTGTGGGTGGACAAAGGGTTGCAAGTCCAGCCAGGATGAGGGTTCATCAGAACAAATGCCTCAACCCAGTGATTCACTGAGATTTTATTAATTCATGAAGAAGGTAGTGGCTTGAGAATGAGTATCTGTGACAGTGGTGAGACATACATGAGTCTTGTGGGCTGGGCTGTGTAGGAGACCTGAGAGCACCTTTTCAATATGCAGAAAGGCCAACCTCCATAACATAATTGAGGTAGCATTTAGTGTTTAGGGATACAATGCTTCAACCATGATGAGCAAACATTTTTGTTCTGGGAAGTCATGGTCTCTTATCTTGTGGTAAAAACCAAGGTGACAGCCCTGGAATGGTAGCTGTACATCCTGCTGGGTTAAAACATGTTTTGATGGGAGTCACAGGGTGATGAAGCAGTGACTGTCACCTAATTTCAAATATTGTGCACCAGCACTTCAGATAACCTTATCTATATTGCTTAGAACCATTTGAAGGGAAATGGAAATGGCTTAGCCAGCTCTGTTGTATCAGAACTTGAAGACAGGGCCAGGGCTAGCTGAACTGGAGATAATTACTCCTTCTTCAAGGAGAGTTCTATCCTTCACATGTTCCTAGATTATTTGTGACACTACTCTCAAGCTAGTCAGGATCCCATCAGAACAGAGAGGATACATGATCAGACGATTTTCCACTTTGTGTTCTCTCAGACTTGAAAGACAACAGAGTACTTTTGAAACTTCTGAATTCTGTTGATCTAGCTGAATCTCAATCAGGATCTGTAAGAAATCTTGGCCATGAATCAGTGAGCCAGGCAACTTCGAAAGTTGGAAAGTCACAATGGAAAATTTGATTAGTGAACCGAGAGCTGTAGTGAGTGGCCACAGGAGAGTTCAAGACCAGCTCCTGTACCCTATACATATGGGACACAGGGTCTTGAGACCTGTCAACTCCAGCAGCACAGTAGGCCTCCAGTTAGAGTGCACAGGCTGAAGAAGTTGGACTAGGGGCATGTAAATGTTGAAGGATAATAACAATATGAACCTACAGATGGTATGTTTGGCGAATCAGCTTTGTGCTTGGGGACAAAGACATGTGGATTAGAAGTAAGCAGGTAGCATGCCTCCTTCTGTTTTATTTACTGTGGTCTTTTCTATTTTTGTTATTAAACAACTGAGGAGAATTCCAACCACAGAAACCTAATCCCATACCCTAAATCTAGAGACAAAGGTCAGACCCAAACCTAGTATAAATTTACCTGCAATATTGGATAGAGTATACATTCTGAGATCAGACTTGAACCTACAGAGACCTATAACACTAAAGGAATCTCACTGTTTTTATTTTCCTCTGTCTTATAGGTCTTTCTCTTTGTAGTCAACTAGGTTACTATTTTTTATTTTTATTTGTTTGTTTTTGTTTTAGTTGCTGTGAGTTTTTTTGATGCTTTTTTCCGTTTTCTTTTCTCCTTTTATTTCTGTTTTGTTTTGCCTTTGATTTTTTTCCATATGGTTGTTCCTTTTTTTCCATGTATGTAGTTTTTTTGTGTTTCTTTTTCCTTCCCTTTTCTTCTCTTTTATTTCTGATTTTATGTTCTTTTCTCCCATATTCATGATTTAAATCTCCAAACTTTCTCTTTGTATTATTCTACTTGTCTTCTTTGTCTCTTTCATCAAATACGTTGTTTGATTTTGTGAGTCTTTCACGTGAGTAAACACTGTCTCCTCTCTTTCTGGTACACTTGAATACTCCTAGGTTTTCTCTTCTGATCTCTCCCTCTTGTGTTGTACAGTTACATAAATCTTGGATGATCATCCTATGCACAATACACTTGCTGTTACTATATTTATCTCATTCACCTCTAGGTCCCTACCCTCTTACCTCCTCAACACATAAAGGGTACTATCACTCTACTAATTGTAAAAATATTGCATACAAGTTCCTAGTAATCATTGGATTGTATTATACAACTATAGAACTTGCTTCTATAATTAAAGAAATCAAGCTACTAGTTACCATGGTATGTCAGTAGTCAGTCTGTGCTTGAGCCTATGATTATTGCTAACTACACTATTTTAACTAGGATGCCATTCCTGTGATAATCAGTTTTTCTGCCTATATGACAACCCTGTGATTACAACAGGGTCATAATAACCATTACCACATCCCAATAGCAAAGGAATAGGCCTTGAATCAAGTTCATAGAACTCTACATGCTTAATATATTGGGAAAGTCTATTCATGGGATAGCTAGAAAGACTAAGAACTACTTAAATCTAAAAGAAACCTTCAGGAATAGACACCTCCTAGCAAAACCTATACATAAATGATAAAAGTATTTAACATAAGAAATCTACAAGCAACAATACAAAAATCAAGATAAAACAAATAATAAAAAATGACAAGAGGAAGAAGCAAAATGTAAACCTAAACTTCCAGTCCATCCAAAAGAAGTCCAGAGTATCAAAATATATAGGAAATCAGAAGCCAACTATGGAAATTCTCTGAAATGATAGCATCATAAGTTAAATATCAAATGAAAGAGGCCAAAGGAAAAATAATATCTAAGGTACAAATGGAAAAATAAGACAATCAAATTATATTAAGGCAGACACAGATGAAAAATACAGAGGCTCTGGGAAATGATGTAAACTGTGAATGCTCAACATAGACAAGAAATAGAAGCAATGAAGCATATCCAAACAGAAATCTAAGAGATTAAAATCTTCCCTGAATGTTTCTACAAGAGGTGGAATGAAGAGTGAAGTAGACTATCAGACCTAGAAAACAGGGATGTGACCAGCAACAAGGAAACAAAACATATCTTAAAAATAGCAACAACAACAACAAAAAATCAATGCAACAGCTACAGCTTAAAACAAAAAAGGACAACTACACAAGATTGACTGGAGTCAGTGAGAAAGCTGGAGACAGTGCAAAAGTCATTAAAATCCTCTTCACAGAAATAATTGCATAAAACTTCCCAAACATTGAGAAGGAACTTGACATATAAAGAAATGTAACATAGAAAACTTTAAATAGACATGACCAAACTAACTACGCACAAAGAAATATAATAATCAAGATTTTAAAAATTCTAAAAAGTTAAAAGTAGTGAGAGAAGTAAAAAAAATCATCTACAGGGAAAATCCCATCAAGATTGCAGCAGATTTCCTGGCACAGACCACTAAATCAAGGAGAGCCTGCAGTCAGATATTTTAAATCCTAAAAGCAAACACTTTTCAACCCAGATTGAGGTATTCTGCGAAACTATCTTTCAAAATCAATGGAAAAACAAGACACTTGCATGGTAAAGAATAACTGAAGAACTTCATGACCAAGAAACCACCTCTACATAATTCTCTGAGGATATATTAGAAAGAGATAATGAAGGCCACGAGCATATGAACACCAATGGAAAGAAACTGTTCAGCAGGGCTAGCAATTAAACAGAGGAGAAAGCCAGGGAACCAACAAAAGAAATTTAATGTGAATGAGATAAGACAATACATATCAGTTATAACTATTAATCTAAATGATCTCAATTCAGAAAAAAAAAGAAAAAAAGAAACAGCCTAGTGGAATGGAACAAGAAATAAGACTCAACAATATGCTGCATTCAAGAAACACATTAAAACCTAAAAGGAAATTCATGGATTAAAAATCAAAGGTTGGAAAAAATTCTCTGTGTCATAGGAACACAGAAAAGTAGAGGTACTTATACTTGCAGACAATGTAAACTTCAAGCAAAAACTAATCAAAAGAGACAAAGAAATTCACTACATATGTGTTAAGGGAAAACTCTAAGAAGAAGAGATAAAAATCATAAATATATATGCACCAAACACTGGTGAACATAACTACATGAA